GAAACTGTAACACAGCTGCGGTCTAAAAACCGTAAAAAAAGTAGGTGTGGTTCAGAGCATTAATGAAAAAAATAAGTTTGTGTCTGAACTGTGCTCTAAGCTGCGGATGCCCTGTGCTGGACCAGCTTTACTGAACCAGAGGTGTGATGCACAATTGTTGCAGGTGCTCCATAAAATGCACCAAAACAAGCAGCTGGAGAAGCACGAGCTGGAGAATTTAATCGAAAATTTGGCGCCACAGGCACCGAATGAGTGTGTGACGGTCGCACTGCTCGGGCAGGTGCTGCAGCGACATAAAGCCAAGAAAACACAAACTGCCACTAAAACTGAAATTAGTTCATCCGCCGAATAATTTTTTGCGAGAACTGAATGCTGCGTTTCACAGAACACTGACTTTTCTACTATCAAAGTTCTTCGGTCCTCGAAGATCTATATGTCGCCTAATTATTTCCCATAAATTTGCAAGATGCTTCCCATAATTTACTGGAAAATTGTTTCTTCCAATAATCAAGCTAACTTGGTTGGCCGCTTTAGGACGCTTCCTCACACATTCGGTGCCTATCAGGGCAATCAACTAAGTACTCGAATAGTGTCATTAGGTATCACTTACTAAAATTCGCTTCGACGTACCACATCTCGACTTTGATATGGTAAACCTATTACGGAAAACTAACCTATTCCATTATGCATAAAAAGGTTTTTCGCACAGTTTTGATTGGTATTTTACCAAGCCGGCTTAAACGAACGCTCATTTCGGGATGATTTTATTCGCTGTTTAAGAAATTTGCTTCTTCATAAAGGCGTGAGAAGTAACGTTCTCGAGGTCAATTTTCAAACCGTTCTATACCCTAAACTTCATCTCAGGTCCAAATCCAGAAAAATTTTTTATCTCCAAAAGACACAAACATATTATTTTGAAAACAAAGTCTTCGACAATGCACAAACTCACAAACCTAAAATTACCTTACGCCTCTTCATCTATCCACACCTTGGACTCAGTTTTATTGGATCGAAAAGGACATATTCCCTGAAGCAATATTTGCTTTGCTTGAGCAGAATGAAGCACTGTAAAAAGCGCCTGTGCCATTCTGCATCTATCAAAGTAGTTCTCCATTCTGCACGAGCGTAAATGGACATTAAAGCAAATTTATGAATTTCAGCTGTTCGAGTTGGATCCCTTTGCTCAGAGTTACAATTCTGTTTTTCTCCTTCAAAATTAAACGGAAACGAAGCGCAGTCACACCGCCATCTATTCGGTCTCTCGCTTTTTTGTTCAGTTAATATCCTACGCTTTTGCTCATTCGTAGAAAAACACTTTTTACTGGTCATAAGTGAGGAAATTCCTTATTGTTGGAGACAATACATTGGAATTTTTGTGTAAATCCAGTCAATTTTATTCGTTTTCAGCTTCACCTGAGCATAAGCTATATGAATAGGGAAGATCCC